TCATTAAATCCTAATCCTACGAAAAGATTAAAAAAAAAAAAAGATACAATTAAAATGAAATTCAAGTGAACTAGTAATAAATAAATGCTTTATGAAAACGACATAAATTAAAAAGTGAAAAATACTCAAAAAAGTGATAAAACTAAAAAAAAATGACAAAAATTTAAAAAATGTTATACTCCAAAAACTGAAAAAATAAAAAAAGGACAACACAATAAAACAAGCGACATAAATTTTGAAAAATTGAAGATTCAAAAAATTGACACAAAATTCGACACAAGTGACAAAATAAAAAAGTGACAAAAGTTCAAAAAAAAATAAAAAAATAACAAACAATCAAAAAGGGTAACAATAATTCAAAAGTGATAAATATTTTTAAAAAAAGTGACAAATAATATTAAATAAACATTCAGACACCAATATCATAGTAGGTAAATGAATTTTGATCAGAGTTAAAATTTTGACAAAAAGTCGAGCATTCAACTCCCATTTTCAAACTGCCTAAAACGATTTTATTTTCAACTAATTTTCACTTTTTTTAGCACAATTATGGAAACTCAGAATCACAATTTATTATATTTTTAGTATTTGATTTTTCAATTTCACAAATCCTTATAATTTAGGGATTATTATCTTAATTTTCACTAATTTAATGTCTTTCTTTCTTTATAGTCATGTAAAGAGAGTAACCTTTCGTCTTCAACATATTTGCTCTGATTTGATGAAAAAAAATTTCATCCTCATCGTTTGGGAAGAAAAGAAGTCACCAAGACCCATTCTCCAAATGTTTTCACAACTTTCAGGTGAAAACTAAAAAGAAGTCACAAAAATAACATTATATAAAATTGATATCACAAATATAGTTAACACGTATACGCTATTGGCACATTGTATTCAATGTGACAAATTTTATACATTTGGCACAATTTTCGATAACGAGACATCCGGCGTAACATAGGTCACATTCGACACAATTTTAGAAAGAGATATACAATGGACTATATCAACTGCATATATATTTCTCACAAGTTTATGCAGGAACACGAAGTCACACAGAAAGCGACATTGCATAATATAATTCCAAACATTTGATGCATTTGGTTGGTCGTGAAATCCCTCAACTTGATTTAGATCGTTGTTATAAGGTGTCAATTTGGCTCGTCGGATCGGGTGGCCCGTGGCTCGACCCGGCTCACTCGGCCCGTGCCAACATGGTTGACTCGACGAAACCCATGGACCATTTTCGGTCCACGACGAACCGAGTCTACAAAAATAATAATAATAGTAATAATAAATTAAAAAGCTAGCCTACAATAGTAGGCAACTATTGCTGCCTATTATTAAAAAATAAAAAATAAAAAAATTGTAAGTCGACTCAGCTCGGCTCAATAATGTTCGAGCCTAAAGTTCGGATCGAGTCTAGATTTTTTGGCGTTCGACTCATTGATATCCCTACGTTGTTACGACGGGAAAACAAGAAAAATTTAATCAATGAAGCCACAATTCCATTTTGTTTGTCTTCACGGATGATCACATAAATGAATATGGAGATAAAATAATTATCTTGTTGAACTGAAGGGCGGAATATATGAGAGAAACTCTATCTTTATATATCATGCTTTCCTTAAATATAACTAATTTATGTCACATTAAACCCTTGTTTGATAAGGATTAAAATCTAAATTTTAATTTAAATCAAAGTTAATAGTTAATTTTAACTTCTATCCAAAATTACTAAAAATCTGATTTTAATCTCCACCAAACAAGGCTAAGTGTCTTATATAAATAAATTGATATCAATTTTGTTCTTAAAAAAAATTGTAAAATATGACCTAATTATAAAAACATTCTCAAATTTAGATATTTTTACAAGGGAAATGCCCTACGTACA